AAAGTAGTCAGATTTATTGCTGGAAATGGATGTGTAAATTAATCTAGATCCAGAACTTGAAGTGTTTTGCAGGTTTCACTTATTGAAAGAAATTTTCTAGGTTTCAATTGGGGGGAAAAAAAATAACCCAATTTAGTCAATTCTGATCAATAAAATCAGGATTTAGGTCACTCTTGTTGAAAATGCTTGCTGTATTCAAACGAATTTAATAAATTGATTTAAAGCAGATTGGAGGGCAGCAAAATCAGCTTTTCAGTAGAAATTACTGGATAGATGTGGAAAAAGCTACGAGTCTGGTTATTTAAAGACAAGTAAATGGTGTTGTTGCCAATATTTGTTATAAGATTTTACTTTGTGATAAATTTGCCCTAATAATAAATAAAAAGTCTCCATTTACAACAAACACCTGCTCCAGGGGGGGAAATTTGTACACAAATTATCGGGTAGTATAATTCTTGAACTGAACTCAGGAGCCTCACAAATTCAGTTCACACTTTGCACATCCCTGATTTAGACTAAAAACAAAGGACAGGACTGCCTTCTGCTAAGAGGAAGTTCTGCTCTTGAGCAGGTTCTAAAGAACCATCAACAGCAGAAGTGGATATGGTCTTTTTTATTAAACCTTTTCCTTCTCTTTTCTAGTTAAAATGTCGGTGAAACAGATGTGGCTCATGGGACTGAGCTGCTGGTTGAAGGTCACTGACTGTATTTAACTTGTTGGCAATAAACCTGTGTGTGAATAAAAAAATCAATACAAATTATTAAAAAAGTAAATATCTCTCAAAGGAACAATTTACCTTGAAATTAGACAGTGAAATGGTCTTCATGAAGTTGAGGCAAAAAGCAATGCCAAGGAGGTCCTGCAAAATCCAGATCCATCTAAAAGCACATAAAAAATGCTTTAATTTCAAGTTTCTGAGAGCACATTTATAAAACAATTTTTGTTCTAAAGAGGATATTTTAACCAAAAACACAAGGGGTGTAAATCACCGGTTTTATCACTGTACAATGATTCTCAACATCACAAACTGTCATGAAACGATTTCAATTCACCTCYCAAGTCTGTGTTAATGTTAACATATGTCCATCTAATAATAAATGATTGTTAGAT